TGCCTCATCGAAATAACGCTTTTATACCCTAAGTATCTTTGCATCAACTCCTTTTAGGACTTTTGGAGTTGATCTAGCGATATCTGGCTGGTTGTTGCGCACGATAACTCTCGAAGGGAGTATCCGATTTGATATTAATTTGGTAAATCGTAATATTATTATCAAACTTAGATCGAGTTCGGAGATGGGCAATATCGGTATACTCCAACTGATATCTCCAGCACAAAATATCAACATTTTTAAAGAAGATATTTTACTGCACAGAAAGAGAAAGGATAATCCTAGCATCAGTGCTAGGACAGGTGCGAAAATGGACAAAACCGGACCACTTCATCAAGTATCCCCCTCATAAAGGGTCAAAATTATAAAATGTGATGTAAGAGTCCGATTGTCTTCAGATAACACACATCACAATATTTTTATTAACCCAATGTCTGGTGTGAAAATGGAATATATCGGTCGACTCCTTCTGATACCTCCCTCACAAAGGGTCAAAATGTTGAATATCCATGAAGCTCATAAAACGCGAAAATAACGTCCGATTCCATTCAGATTTGACACATCTAAATATTTCCATCAACACAAGATCTGTTGAAAAGATGATAGAAATCGGACCATTCCTTCTGGTACCTCCCCCACAAAGGTTCAAAGTTCCGAATAACAAAAACGATCATAAAGTCGAAATAAGCATCCGGTTCTCTTCAAATTATACACATACAATATTTCTACTAACATAAGATCGGCTGCAAAGATGGAATATATCGGTCCACTCCTTCTGGTACCTCCCCCACAAAAAGTCGAAATTTTGAATATCCATGAAGCTAATAAAACGGGAAATTAACATTCGATTCCATTCCAACTTGTCACATCTCAATATTTCCATCAACACAAGATCTGTTATAAAGATGGTAGAGATCGGACCATTCCCTCTGGTACTTCCCCACAAAGGGTCAAAGTTTTGAATAATAAAAACGATCATAAAATCAGAAATAAGCATTCGGTTCTCTTCAAATTATACACATCACAATATTTCTACTAACACAAGGTCTGCTGTGAAGATAGAATATATCGGTCCACTCCTTCTGGTACCTCCCCCACAAAAAGTCGAAATTTTGAATATCCACGAAGCTCATAAAACGGGAAATTAACATTCGATTCCATTCCAACTTGCCACATCTCAATATTTCCATCAACACCAAATCTGTTATAAAGATCGTAGAAATCGGACTATTCCTTCTGGTACCTCCCCCTAAATATTCAAAATTTTAAATATACATGATGCTCATAAAACCGAAAATTAACATCCGATTCTATTCGGACTTGGTAAATCTCAATACTTCCATCAACACAAGATCTGTTATACAGATGGTAGATATCGGACCATTTATTCTGGTAAATCCCACACAGAGGTTTCAAGATTTTGAAAAAACAAAACGCTCAAAGAAAACGAAACAATCATCCAACTCTCTTCAAATTTCACACATCTAAATATTTTTGCTAACGCAGTATCTATTGTGGAGATGATATATATCTGCGAATCCCTTCAGGTACCTCACCCACAAAGGGTCACAATTTTCAATACTTTTTTGTCATAACTTGAGAAACAAGCCGATTCGTTACAACTTGCTTTATCTAAATATTTCCTCAACCAGAAATCTGATATGAATATGGAATTTATCAGAATTTCTGATTTGGCATAACATTTTTGCACATATCAATATTTTTATCTGTATTAGATGATGTATGAAAATGGAATACTTTGGTCCTCTATATATGTTACTTCCACATTTTCCAAAAATTTTAATATCATAGCTAAGCAAGAAGGTGATTTAACACAAGTTGCGAAATTCTCTTAATTTTTGTTAAACAAACAACCAATCAATGAAATCATGAAATTTTATAAACTTTGTTCTGCTGCTCCCCTTGCGTTAATAAATTATTCCGATCCTTAAAAAATCGCTTTACAACTTCTGTATTTTTTCCTATAATGTTGAATACCTACTCTTATGTTGGCATCACTGTTGAAAATAAATCGCAATCTCTCCTCTCGACCAAAAAAACAGTAAACGAAGAGCACAAAAGAAAGGTTCGTATATTTCTCTTTCTGTTCTTGCCGATGTCATTATGGAATAAAGAGAAAAACACGATTCATTTTTGACATCCAATTTGACTTTGACGCCGTTGGTTTGCCGTTTGTAAATGAAGTAGGGAAGAAATCACAATCACAATACAAAAGGCAAAAAAAAAACAACAAACCACCAAATAAGATAGTAAAAAAAAACGAAAAACAAAGCAAACGGAAAAATTATGCTGGCATCCTATTAATGAATAGAGTTGCCAAATTTGGGGGAAAAAATTAAATGTTGACATAAAGGAAGTGCAATGAAATTGGACAAACATTTAATTGATTGATGAAATTGAACAATTTTTCGATAACTATTAATTTTCATTGCTTTTTTAATTAAATAGTTTACATTTTTCATACAACTTTATAACATCATATCCTACACCCTAAGAAGGGATATACTTAATTTAGCATTTCACCAGCTATAGCTGAATATTACATGTGAAACTAACAACAATTTTGTAAAAATCAAAGATAAAAATCAAACAATTCTGATTAAAAATTATGAATAGAAGATTTATTCCTTAAGAAATATACACAGTGATACTCTATTAAGAATATTATGCAGATACAATTTGTTCCACATATTTTAGTCAGAAAAAATACAAAATTTCAATATTCGGTTTTGGTTTTTAAATTTGCCGACGACTCTACCTATTCGATATACTTTGATGCATTCGTATCAAAAAAAAATATTTAACCTAGTTTAACTATTTGGGTAAAGCCTCCCAAGCGTCCTCCCATTTTAGCAATTTCGAATGTTTCAATTTTCATTTCATTTTTAGGGGTTTTAAAAATAAACCTTCCAGAATGTGAAATATAGTACTATATTGTACCATTTTTACAATTTGTATACAGAATATTTTGAAACTATACAGAGTGAGATAAAACAAGTAAAAAACATTAAGTTCCTTAGGGTAATGGAAACACTAGAACCAACTATGACCCACAAATACCAATTTTTAGACAAATCCATGAAAAAATGTGGCAAAAATCATCAAAATACCGAATATCGGGAGGGCTATACCAAAGCGTGGACATATACATCCAAAGTTTCGCCACAGGAGATCGAACCCATTATGACCAACAAATACCAATTTTTAGACAAATCCATGAAAAAATGTGTCAAAAATCATCAAAATACCGAATATCGGGAGGTACCGTTATATGAGGACTATACCAAAGTGTGGACCTATAAATACAATGTTTCACAAAGTCAAACGCCATAATTTTTACATATTTTTTTTTAAATTTTATTGAATGAAAGCAAAAAATATCGGAAGTAGCATCAAATATTAGAATAAGTTTAGATTTGTTCAAACGGCCAATGAAACTGTCACACGCTCCCCGAATGTTGTTCTGCGGTATTTTCGCCCATTCCCGGCTAAGCGATTGCTTGAGGCGATCGGCACTTTGGTATTTTTTAGTGCCAACCTTCCTTTCCAAAATACGCCAGACACAATCGGATAGGTATACGGAGATTTTGGTGGCCATTGTGCGCTGGAAATGAAGCGAGGAACCTTATTTTGTAACCATTATTGGGTGGCCCGTGCTGAGTGCGATGTTGCTGAGTCCTGTTGGAATGTCCAAGGTCTGCGGCCAAAATGTTCGCGTACCCAAGGCGAATATTCTCTCATCGGAGAAAACCAAATTCGGCTGTTCAACACTTTTGGCCAGCAACCAGCAGCTCTATAACTCTTTTGAGTATATTTTCTTTCTGTTGTGGAGTAAGTTCTTGGACTTTTTGGAATTTCAATGGCCCGATTTAACCTGAGCTCATTTTACAATATTTGCGGAATGGAATATTGCGATATATGTTTAACTCACGAGCCATTTTTATATGTGGAAGTTATAGCTATATCAAAACCGATTTTCAACAAATTTGATTTCTAAAAAAATTCAGGTCATTCAGACTTATATTGGCCATTTGGTGCACAATTAACCCGAAATCGGTTACTGATATATGGGAGCTACGTCTAAATCTGATCCGATCATCACCAATATCAAGAGAGTTCCTACTTGGGACAAAAAAAATTGTTTGAAAATTTTCATCTCAATCGGATAATAAATGCGACCTGCATTTTGTTCACAAGAATACATGGACGGACTGACTGCATAATTCAACTCAGAAAGTGATTCTATGAATATCCTCAAAAGTAACTATGAGCTGTGTAGTTTTTTTTTAAATTCATTATTTGAGAACAATTAAATTTTCTACCTCTACAGTTTCCATGGTTTTTCTCTATTCTACTTCCATTCACTTTCTATTTTACGTTTTTAAGCCATGTCCTGAAAAATTGTACTAAAATCTAATATATTATTAATAAAAACTTTCCTAATTTCTCATTTTATTCATGAAATCTCTTATATTTACTTTCCTCCGAAGCTATAAAAAATTGGGGGCCGAACAAAAATTCCTGCTATGGCAACTCTGTTGACAACAAAACAAAAAATACATGCATTGAAGCACTTCAATAGGGAGAAAATGACTGCGTAAACAAGTTGGTGAGAGAGAGAGAGAGACAGAGCAAACCAAAAAAGTAAACGTCATATTCAACTCTTGCTAAGAGATCTCTCCCAGATTTTTCCGGGATTTCTGTTGAAAATGAAAACAAATTTTGACAGATTGTCGATGTGTTTTCATAAAAAAACACGAAATCATAGGTAAAATGTCAAATGGGAAGAGATTATTTGGCGCATCTCCACGCACACACACACTACATAAAAACGATGTTGACATTAGCAGTGATGCAAGACAAGTACAAAAACAGCTACCAGAGAATCCAGTTATAATTGAAACATGAAATGAGGAGATAAAACTGACAAGAACTCCCCAATGGGATGGATTGATAGATGGATTGTGGGATGGACTTACCTCTTGTTGTGGGGGGCGGCGAAAAAGGTTTTCAATTTTTGCCGTCAACGACGAAGAGACACCAACAGCGCCACCAGCCAACACGAAGAATTTTGGTCTTGTTTTCGGTATCTTCTCTTACTCCAAATGCCGTTAGGTTATTTCAATCTTGGCCAGAAGAAAATTACGCACTTGTTTTTAATATCAATAGCTTCTTTGGACTAGATCCCCAGATTCCAGTTATACAAATGTGGATAATTTTGATTTCGAGATTTGTTGATGTTTTTACATAAAAATTATATTAATTAATTTTTCAAGTTAACAGCAAATGCAAGATAACCCTTTTTCGGTTTGCTGCTTTTACTTGCCACACACACAACAAAATCCAGTGCACAGGTTTTTTATTCTATTACCACCCCCTTTTTTTCTTCGCTAGGTTGATTTTGCGTTTTTTTTTCTTCTTCACTACCAAAAAACGAGGTTTTTTTATATTGCTCTTCTTTATTATATATTTCTTTTCTTCTTCACTTAAAATTTATATACACCATGAATTTGATTTCTTTAAATTTGTTTTCTTTTCACAGATAATTTTGTTTTCAACTCGTTTTTTTGTTATTTCAAATCAATTATTTCTTCTTGTTGTTACATTTGCTAGTTATGCCATGCATGCACACCACACATATGTGTATATTTGTTGAACGTTGTACAACTAAAATAAAAGAAGAATGTACAATAAGAAACAAATTAAGAACGCGTTAATGGCGGAGACTGCCGTCGTCTACGAATTCCACGTCCACTCACGTCAAAATCAAAATTCAAATAAAAATTTCTTTGCCGACCAAGTCGGTATGTGAAACAGAGAGACGGATAGAAAGAGCGAGAGAGAGCGCCAGCTCCAGCAAAGGGAGTGTGAAAGAGAATACGACAATGGGGTGACCAACAACAGGGCCCGTGATTTAATTTTTTAACGGCGACAACAGGTTTAACTACGTTCTCTGCACTTGCTCTCTTTAGAAACTCTCTTGTGGTCTTTGTAAACAAGTGTTTTTCCATGATTTTCCAATTGGATTGTGACAAAAAGGTATTGGAATTGATGAATTGCTTTATGTAAAAATATTTTAACCATGTTTGAAAGTAAATTTATGATTTAATTTGGAAGTTTTCAATGAAAACAACGAAAAGGTGTGATCTCAACGTATATTTTTTAAACTCTCTGCCAAGTGGCCGCCTTTTTAACAACAAAATCCCATTGGTATAGCTAGCTCATTCGCACATTTGTTGGAAAATGTACACAAATGCAAACGAAGTGATTATCAGGTACTTTTTTAGTAGGATTCACACAATGAAATTTGTTGTACGAAAGCGTTTAACACATAAAACGCGTAATTTTGATTATTGATACCAAATAAATGACAAAAAGCAAACAATCGAAACCCGTCGTGAGCTGAACATATCGCAATATTCCATTCGGCAAATATTTAAAAATAAGCTGGGGGTAAAGCCATTGAAATTCAAAAAAGTGCAAGAACTTACACCGCAACAGAAAGAAAATAGACTCAAAAGAGCTAAAGAGTTGCTTCGTTTGGCCGAAAGTGGTGAACTGTCGAATTTGAATTTCTACGATGACAAAACATTTGTACACAAACAAAATGATCGTATTTACTTGTCAAAGAGGTCAGCTAAAAATGTGCACACTCGGTTGGCCACCAGAACTCAAGCGCCGGCCATAGTGATGGTGTGTGCCGCCACAACAGCCGATGGTCGCTCTCCGCTCGTATTAATCGACCGTGGCATCAGAATAAATCCCGAATATTATCGCGAAAATATTCTGGAGGGTGTATTAATGCCTTGGGCACGCAAACATTTCGGCCGCAGACCTTGGACATTCCAACAGGACTAAGCACCATCGCATTCAGCAAGCGCCACCCAAGAATGGTTACAAAATGAGGTTCCTTGCTTTATTTTCAGCCTCCAAAATCTCCGGATACCAATCCGTTGAACTATTGTGTCTGGAGTATTTTGGAAAGTAAATGTTGGCACAAAAAATGCCAAAGTGTCGATCACCTCAAGCAAGCGTTTTGCCGGGAATGGACCAAAATACAGCAGAGCAACATTTGGGCAGCGTGTGACGGTTTCATTGGCCGTTTGAAGGCCATAATTCGTGTTATAGGTGACCAATTCGAACAAATCTAAACTTATTCTAAAAATTACTATTTCCGACATTTTTTGCTTTCATTCAATAACATTAAAAAATGTTAAAATTATGTCTTTTGACTTTGTTTCCGTTTTTTATCTCACCCTGTATACCCTCTGTTGTCATATGGCGGAGGGTATAAAAATAGAGGTAATTAAAGAAAAAAGTCATGGTACAATAAGGAGGTAGAACGGCTTTGTGAAACTACAGAAATACAGCATTGAAGCTAGGCTCACATCCAGTCAGAATTATTCAAAATTATATCATTTATATTGTCTTTTTTCCACAAATGAGTAAAAATGTATATAATGTCTGGATTTTCATTAAAAAATATAATCCAAATTGTTCAAACTTTAAATTCCATGGCAAAAATGATTATTAGCTTTAATAAGCGCCCCGCAATGTGCGTTCTTTCCAATCAATGATTTAAATGAAACAAATATTTATGATGTATCTTTATTCTACCTCCTGTTATTATTCCAAGCATACATATAAAGCAGCAGAGCTCTTATTGGAAATATTAAAATTACTTTTTCCAGCCCTGCAATTCTAATTCAAATCTGAACTTGGCATCACTTTCTGCGAGAATTTTGTGTTTATGCATTTATTCCACATTTGTTTATTCTTATACACCTATCACTTGGTATGAAAATCTTTCATTCATTAAATTTTTCCATTTTCACATTTAATAACACTTTTAATCATGGCTTTGAGTCCCAATTTGTTCAATATTACTTGTTATCCATGGGAAATGCAAACTTTTGATAGTTGCGTAGGTATAACTAGATCGATTTTTGGTTTCTTTGATATCGGCGTGCTATATATCGATTTTTCAAAGTTGTTTTTAACGAAACAATGAAAATGAAAATAATTTTATTTTTGTTAGCAAAAAATTCTTTTTCAAACCTAATCATTACGTAATTATGGTTAAAAAAGTTTAATATTTAGAATTAAATAGAAATGAGAAAAATACAACCCCTCGTGGTCGTCTGGCCATTATCATCGATTACTCGATTATTTCCTTTTACTTTTCGATTTATACCCACTGAAGGTCACAAGTCGATTGAACGATCCCTATCCACTTTGCCAATTTCGCAGCTGAAGTTAAACGTGTGGAATATTTTGGCTGCACAAAAATTAGTTGTTATTCTTATTGCGAATTAACAAAAACAACATTGTTTCGTTAATTATTTTTATTAATTGCAAAACGAAGCAAAAAACGCGAATTTCTTAAATATTTCCACACGGGTGGCATCAGTTAATGCGCGTATTGGTGGTCTATCGTCGTTTGTCTTGCAGCAGAAAAAACAACAACCAACGTAACAAAAAACACGGGGAGAGCAGCAGCTGTGGTGCTTAGCGAAGTGAAAACACACAAGAAGCAAAAAAATAAAACGAGAAATCTTCATTGTCGTACCATAGAAACGTGATCAGCAGCAGCAGCAGAAACGAAACAAGAACGAAATTTATTTCCTATTTTTTGTCGCAAATTTTAAGCAAGGAATTTATTTGTGTTTTTGTTTTTCCATAAATGTGCTAAAGTTTCCCAAAGCTCGAGCAAAAATTTCGCACATATTGCCAAAAATAGAAGAACTACAGTGTATGAAGTGAAGTGACAGAGGATAACAAAAAAACATCCTTGAAAAGAAAGCATAGAAAAAAATCTGTCATTTATTTCTTAATTTGTAACTCGTGGTCTTTTCGGTTCTTGCTTCGGTGTTCTACGTAGTCTGCCAGCGAAAAGAAAAACATTCTAAAAGAAACAAACTTATTTCAATAAGTAATAACAGCAGAAGTATCAGCAGTTTCATGGAAGACGTCATTGTTGTTAGCAGCGATTCATCATCTAACAGCTCCTCCGACATGGAAATCGAACCAACTGAAATTGAAAATACCAGCTGTGAAAGCATTGTGCCCAAGGACAATGCAACGTAAGTAGCCAAGAAAATAAAGCAATGGATTAAAATGCATTGAATGCAAACATAAGAAGATATACAAACATAAATGTTGTATCATCATACAGGAAAAAACATGCTTTGTCATATTCTTCCACTGCTTGGCCAGCAGTAAAACATTAACAACAAAGTTTGTTCTGGCCACACTTGTATTGGGTGTTGTGAAATATTGTGGAATACAGGGAGAGAGAGAGAAAGGGGGAGAATGAGTTATTTCCATAATCACCATCATCATCATCATTATTATCAAGAAAACCTACATAAAGAATATGACGTAGAAACATTTTTCAATGTCATTTACATAGACTTCATGTTTTTTTTATATAATCAGGGAATGGTTCCTTTCTTCCCACACGAACGCACACACTCTCACAACGTGAGATGACTCCCACACAAAATGTATTTCATTTCTAGTTACCGTTAATTTTCTCTTTTTTCGAAAAAAAACAACAAAAGGTAAACAAAGTTCTTCAAACAAGCATTTTTATGTTATGCTTTGCACACAGCTTTTCTTATAAGTGGGTTTGTTATTGTTGTTTTCTTATTTGTTTCTTTAATTTTACCATTGCCCCTTGAGTCGAGTGCAATGGTGATTTTTGTTTGTTTATTTATGTTGCTCTCTCTCTCTCTCGCTCACGTTGCATTTCTTGTTTTTGTTTTTTTTCGTCCCGTGGTATTGTTCCAATTGGAATTTTCCCTTTACCGTTGGGAGAGTTGCATTTTAATGTTGTGTGGCTTTTTGGAGAGTTGAGTGCAGTGTTGCCATATGAGATAGTGTTGTTCTAATAGACGTGGTTTTTGGAAAAGTAGGACAAAGGAGGAGAAAGAGGTAATAATATCAAATTCAATTTTGTAGAGAAGACATTTAAAGTGTATTTTATTTATAGAAAATGAGTAAATGGCCTACAGGAGACGAATAATTCTGTTCCCTACCGAAGTAGCCAGAAATGCCTTTTTAAGACAACAGACAAAAAAATTAAATTTTTCAAGCCGACTTTTCAGAAAATATGTATAAATTGACTCCTTTGGAGGGAGCTGGCCCAGCGCCTTAATATGTCGGTGAATTTGGTTTAACTCTAGTTTAGTAAAAATTCTTACCCTGATTCCGGGAAACTATTTTTTTCTTGGGGAAGGAATCAGGGTAAGAATAAGTACTAAACAATAGAATAGTTTTTACTAAACTAGAGTTGTTCCCTGTGTGCCCGACTTCCATGCATTGATTACCTAAATAAGGCCTTTTTTTTATAAATTCTGTGATGTATGAAATACCTTTAGAATGGCATTTATTTACAAAGAACTAGTAGAAGGTGTTTTCCCTCTAAAGAACCACTGATGGTCTTACAGCAATTCTCCTCCGGAAGAAATTTTTTGAATATATGTGTTCAAAAAGGACTTGTTCCTGTATATGTGGTGGTGGTATGTGCGTAGAAAACCCCCTTGGTAAATTGAATACTAACAAAAAGAGGGTCCATCAACAATTTTCGATATAGGTCTTTAATGTATGAAAAACTTCTAGAAGATCTCCTAGTCATAGAAGGCTGCAAAGATGAATTCTGCTTATTTAAGGCTTCTAGAAGGTCTTCGACATGTAGAAGATATTTGGACAGTCTTGTTTATATAGAAGAAACCTTTGATCCATTGTGTTTATACCAGGCAGAATACAGTTGTTGGTGATAGAAGACATATAGAAACGTGAGAGATAAAGGAAGGATTTATAGAGAGAAGTATAGTTAACAGGGTGGTCTGTTTTAGCCAGCCAGATCTACCTATATAGTGATAGATGGGAGTTTGTTCTTCTTAATATTGCCGGTCTGATGTCCTTAGATATCCAACAACCGATTTCCATGTGTCATCTTCTTCTAGCCTCTTTAATGAGAGATTTTCCAGAGGTATATGGGAGTGCAGTACGAGCTGCTACAATAAAAACAACAACATCTGTTACC